TCACCACCTCCAGAATAAAGCATGCCGCTAAGCAGATAGGAGAGAAACATTTGTGATGTCTGAGGAGAGGACATAGTCCTCTTAAATATCTTTCAACTGACTAAACTAAGCTACACGCTCAATCATTCAGGGTATTTTAAAAGCAAACACAAGATGATGTATGATCACCAGAAATTATGGTCACAGAAGGCCTAAGATTGTTAAACAGAGACAATGTCAAAGGACAGTGTGATGATACAGAGATGCAGATGAGGAAGTAAAACTGGATTAACTCCATCCTTTATAGTAAAGGACAAGAAATAGATACTGCCTAAAGCTGGACCAAAATGATTTTAGCCATTTAAACTTTAGTGAAAAAAAAAAAAACAAGAAGAAAAACCACAGGTTCATTTAGATTCAACTCATCATGCACAGTCCCAACCACATCACAGAAGTGACGGTGATCATCATGTGGACAAATTAACACCAGTGGGTAACTTTCTAAATGATGACATCCCAAATCAGTGGTTCTCAACTTGTGTGTCGTGACTCTTTTGTGGGTCACATATCAGATATCCTGCATACCTGATAGTTACATTATGATTCATAACAGTAGCAAAATTACAGTTGTAAAGTGGCAATGAAATAATTCTATAGTTGGAGGTCACCACAACATGGGGGTCTATATAAAGGGTAGCAGTATTAGGAAGGTTGAGAACCATTGTCCCAAATGGTTCAAATACACTATGAATATGATGACCATTTTAACTTTCTCTGTCAGCACAGTCTTTGCCCTCAATAAAATTCTCTCAAAAGTCATAGGGAACACATGAACATAAATTATTTGACAAGTGACTGCCTTACTAAGCAACATAAACCCTAATTACAGTTTGTCAAAGACAGACTGAAGTTAGGATTAAATAATGATTCTGAATAAACCATACACAGTATGCCAAAGAAATTGAACAGCAAACAGAAAGTACTGCACATCATGTGTGATTGGCCAACAATGGCAAAGAATTCAGAAACTCATAAAAAAGATCAGTCTGAGAGGTCATGCTTAAGTGATGACTTGAGCAGGATTCAATTTCTCTAGATATCAAAAGAAGGAACCATGCAATAACAACCTAGGCTTGTATGGGTTCTTTGGAAATTCAAAAGGTGTTGTAGATTTAGACAGATGTTAAGGTCTAAGATGCCAAGCGTCATCTGGATCCAGTGCCTCTGCATTGTGGCATCTGTTGTGTGAGCTTATGTCCCCTTCACTCAGTTTCCTCCAGCAGTGATTCAGCATAGACAGCAGATGATGTGAATGTTCTTCAGTCGGTTTTGGGGAATCATCACAACTTACTCTTGGAATTACAGCATTCACAGGCTCATATCAGATATTTTCTCTCCCTGCCTACTTGAATTCCTTTATCTAGTGTTGCTTAGGAGAAGAGATACTCATAGGGCCTCCCCAAGAGAACACTTATCCAGCTGCTTAACTCCAAACAACTTAAGAGAACCCACATCCATACCATATATTTATACATAAACTGAGAGATTTCTAATCCCCAAACACTCAAACACTAGTTGCTAACTGCTCATCACACTTGCTAACTATACACCAGGCCCAGAGGTAATTTATCATCCTTTCAACAGTTAGTATTCACTACCAGCCTTTGTTAATACTAGAATTGCCTCCGTGAACTGCTTTTTCTTTTCTATTATTGTTCTAGACTAGCTACTAGTCATAGCAATGGAGTTGACAGATTCCTATGTGAATAAAAGCCAACTCTGGGCTGTGTTCTCTTAAATCTTTGCTAATATGAGATACCTATAGTTCTCACCTCATTTTCAAAGCCATAGAATTAAGACACAGCCTATCTGGGTGAAGAGAAATATGTCTATCTGGGTCCCTAGTTTGACTGTTGTGAATCTTACTAGAGGATGGAGATGCCATCCTGGTGGCTGAACCCAGGCCATGTGACCCATGTGTCTGTAATGAAAATTGGACATCTGCAGGAGTTGCATCTACTATGGTTCACAGGGATGGTAGGAGGTCAAGTCCCAGCCAAATGCAATTAACTACAGATGTTAGATGCACTAAGCTCTCTTGCCTCCAAAAATTGCAATAACTTCAAGTCAGGAATAAACACAAGAAGCAAAATGCCTTATAGTTAACTATAAAGATGCCTGAGAAATTACAGCAATATCTGTTTTGGGTTAGGCAATATTAACTTTTGGAATCAAAGAAAGACTGTTGTCTAGCACTACACACAAGATTTGTAAGCAGGGATAGGTCACTGCCTTCTGCTGCGAAGGATGCAGGTCCAACCTCTCCAAATTTCAGGGTTGTCTGATCTCTGCACCTCTCAAATCCAATTTCAGAGCATAAGGGCATAAGTATATGACTTCCTGTGAGCATATCTTACTCTCGTAATTTTTTTTTTTTTTTTTTGGTTTTTCGAGACAGGGTTTCTCTGTGTAGCTTTGCGCCTTTCCTGGGACTCACTTGGTAGCCCAGGCTGGCCTCGAACTCAGAGAGATCCGCCTGGCTCTGCCTCCCGAGTGCTGGGATTAAAGGCGTGCGCCACCACCGTAATTTTGATCAAGTCATAGAAGGCTTACTTTGTGGCAACTCTATTTTCAGAAGACCAAGCCGGTTTATCCCTTGAAATACCTACTCAAAGCTTTCCTGTCCCTGCTAGAAAAAAAATCTGCATCTTTTGGACTTCCACAAGACATAATTTGGATTTCTTTTATGGAGCTGAATTTGCTTAATGGTTATTTACATGCAGGTCCTATTTATCTACTAGAGAGTAAGCCCCCAAGCAGATTCTAAAAGGTTCCACCTATCAGATCTTCCTGTTAAAAACCTTTTGCCAGGACTGAATCTTGCTTTTGACTGAAAATGGAAAATGGAAGAAGAGAACAGGAGTCTATTGAGGTAATCTTGGGGTTTGGTTGTCATAATAAATGAGGGGTGGTGTCAATATGAAGAAAGGGGACAAGGAAGTAATCTGGGATGGGGTAGCAAAGGTTCAGGTTGGGAGACATTCACAAGGAGAAGGGAACTGAACATAATGCTCATATAAGAACTAGCACATCATCTTAGAGTCCCATCTGCTAAGGAAGACAGCAAATTTTCCATAAGGTGACTTGCCCCTACCATACCTAGAGAACAATTAGCTTGCCTAGGAAATAGAAAGTAAAATGGAGTCATCAGCTATGTGTTGTTGAAATAGGCCTTTTATTACTTCCTATTGGGTTTCCTGCTTTCCTAGCTCATTGTTCTGTTTCTTAAAATTAAAATCCTGTTTGTGTCACTTTACACTGCATAAAGTCCCACACCTGATAAATAGTTTGAAAGCTCAAACCAGGCACTGTAGCAAAATGGTTGAACAAGTTTTCAGTTTATCTTTCATTTGTTAATCTTTGACATGTGTCTCAAAATTGTCTTATTCTCTATCTTCAATTGAATCTACGGGTCAAGAGGGATAATTAACATAGTGCCACAAAGACAGGTATTTGGGGGCTAAGCACAACTTTGTTTGAATAACTAAAACCTTGTACTGTTTGCTTCTGTGAAATCATATGCAGAATAGTGATTTATACACATCAGTGTTAATCAACATGAGCATATGGAGGTCACCAAGTAAAATACTGAAGTGAAATTGATTATTAAAAACATATGAAAAAATTAAAATAATATGCTAATTATTAATACCACAAAAGGACATTTTAATTTCAAAACTGTTATCATTTAACTGGATGCTGAGCTATATCTCCTAAGGAATGTAAATCATACCTTAAATAATATTTTTAGGTAAAACTTCCAAGTTTTATAAAGTATTTTAGGAACCTAATTAAATATTCTGTAGAATATTATACTATATATATATGCATAATATTATACACAATGGATATCCATCCACCATGGGTATACAATGGATATCCATCCACCATTCCCATGCCCATAACATCTTTCTGAAATGAGGAGAATTTCCAAAACTGGCTCAGGGGTAGGACTCTGCCTCTCCCTGGACACAAGTGAAGTGGTACCAAGTGGTTTCTGCCACACACTTTACCTAGTGCTCAGGCCTAAGGCCAAGGCATAAATAATCAGATGGTCATGAGGTTCCAAACCTTGGAGAGTGGTGACAAGCTCAGAGTCAGTTTGTGAGTGTTGGAGGCAGTCAGGAATCCACTTTGCAGGCAATGCTGGGGCCAGGTAAGTAGGCTTCAGTAGTAGATGACTCTTGAGGAAGATGATGGGGTGTCCTGATTCCTTTACTATATGCCTAAGCCAGCCCTTTGCTTTCATCTCAGTTCTTTTGAGATGCCCATATAGTTCACTAAGCTGCTTCTTCTTCTTAGTTGACTTGAATTGTTTTGAAGAACACATATTGCTCATGCATGGCTATGCCCATTAGCTGAGGTAACTGAATATTTCTAAACATTATATTCAGAAGCAAAACTTAAAAATATTATAATTCAGGTTTTTCACAATTACATATTCATTTCAATACTGCCAAATGTAACAGTTGTGAAAACTGTTCCCCAGTGTTTGGGGATTCCTTCTCAGAAAGGTCATCCACTCATGTATCTTTGTACCTTAGAACAGCTGAACAAAGCTTGGGTGACTTGTTAAGTCAGGCGTTGGCCTATGACAGAAACTTCCCATATCCATCCCATTATCCAGCATTCCCCTTCCCATTAAGATACCCAACTTTGCAGGAAAAAACGTAAATAAATGAAAAGCAATACTAACATATATACTAGTGCCATCTTTCTGTTATAAATTATATTTTTTTTGTGCTGATAAAGTCATTTTTAAAAATGCTCCAAGCATTTTCAACACTATGGGGGATGGGACCTGGATTCAACAAGTGACATTTGCTTTCCATGCAAATATCCCATTAAATTCAAGTCACACTGAGAACATATGAGTTCCTTTCGCCTTAGCATCTACTGCATAGCAAACCTTTATGGACTCTTGAGTCACTTTGTTTTAGAAACCTGAATTGTTTAGGTACCTGGCCTTCTCTGTGCTGCCCAAGCACTGATGAATATCAATGAATTCCATTAGCTGTTTTTGTAGCATCACGTCTTTGCCCTCGATCTGAGTAATGAATTTATGCTTCAGAAGATCCGACACTGTTGGACGCTTTTCATAATCTTTGGTCAAGCATCTGCATTGGCAAAATGGAATATGTAATTATTAAATAAGTTAGAGTTTTGAAATTATCATTCAGACTTTTAAAAAAATCTACTCAGACTTGATGCTTCTCACAAATGTCAATTCAAAGCAGATCTCAAAAATATGAAATGGCAATGCGATACATGTTTGTAACAGTGCCCATATCTGTAAGGGATCATACTGCGGTGATACCACAGTTCAATCACCCAGTACTTCCGTTTATTTCCCAGCAAGCAATGCTGCGAATAATAATAATAATAATAATAATAATAATAATAATAATAGTAAATAATAATAATAATAATAATAATAATAATAATAAAATTCTGTCTCCATTTCAAAGTCTCCTTTCTAAGTCATTCAAGATTAGAAGCCTTAATGTTTATATAAAATTAACACAAACTCTTTAGTTTCGTTTTACCATGCTTTTAAGACTTTTTAATCAATATATTTCTGATAACCCAATAGAAAGTTAATCTGCTAAGAAGGCTAAGATTCCATGCCAGCAGGAATTCATGAGGTCATGTGGCAGATATTTTAATGAATACCACACCTGTGGACAGGATCAACCACGGCATATTGGTGAGGAGGGATAAGGTTAGTGAACACACCTATCTGGGATGGTATCATTTGAATAAACGTGCAATGTTTTTTCAGCTATGGCAGCTGTCTTCAAATACTTGTAAGAAAGATTTGACCAATTCCCAGTGGTCACTGGGGGGCAAAAACCCCTTGATTGGTTGGTGGAAGAGATCTCAGGTTAGTGTGATATTCATGTGCTTATCAAGGTGGAATTATTAAAGTGAAATCATACTTCTCACGAGGGTTATAAGCATTGAATGAGCGGCTGAAATACTCTACAATCCCTTTGACCCTGAGATACAGTTTCTCCGACTGTTATTTGGGGATATCAAAATAAATCAATAAGAAAAAACAAACAGAAGCTGGGTCTGATGATACAGGACTAAAATCATAGAACTTCAGTCGGGCTACAGAATGAGTTTAAGACTAGACTGGGCAACTTAGACACTGTCTCAAATTAAAACAACAACAAGAACAGGAGGAGTGCTTTCTTAGGACATGTGAGGCCCTACATTCAACTCCAGTGCCTCAAAACAAGAAGGAAAGGAAGAGGAGGAAGAGGAAGAAGAAGGAGGAGGAGGAGGAGGAGGAGGAGGAGGAGGAGGAGGAGGAGGAGGAGGAGAAGAAGAAGAAGAAGAAGAAGAAGAAGAAGAAGAAGAAGAAGAAGAAGAAGAAGAAGAAGAAGAAGAAAAAGGAGCAGGAAGTGGAAAGGGAGGAGAAAGAGGAGGAGGAGGAAGAGGAAGGGGGAGCAGGAAGTGGAAGGGGAGGAGAAAGAGGAAGGGGAAGCAGGAAGTGGAGGGGGAGCAGGAAGTGGAAGGGAGAGAAGGAAGAGAAAGAGAAGGAGGAGAAGGACGATGGCGAAGGGGAGGAGGAGCAGCAGCTGCCACCCAGTCCCTGGCTCAGTCAGTGCCATCAGTAATCTGTATCATTGATCCTCCGGGGTTGATAATTTGACAATTTATTTCACTGGGCTTAGCCAAAGCCTTCCCTAGGGATGCTAAAATATGCTATGGAATGAGGCTGGTGCTGTCTAGAAACCGGAACAGGTGCTCTTGGGTTTCATTTGGTTGAACAGAATGAAGCCGTTTCTACATCTACAGCACTTTGGCATCTGCACTAAGAAGAGTGACAGATTATTTTATTCAAGTTCAACTTTGCCAAATAGCCAACGCCTACCTGTCTCTGCTAGACACGGGAGTGACAGTGACAAGGAAGGGGACAGTGCTCTATTGTCCAGCTAGACAGAAGGACATCAGAAGAGAACAATAACATTGGAAATGTTACCAGTGGGAGAGGAAAGAACAGCACACGGACTGCAAACAATACGAATTGCCTGGGGAAGATGGGAACTGAGTCTTAGGAGAACACTGGGGAATGAGTCAGCTAAACCAGGACCCACTGAGTGTCTGAATCAAAGGCTCTTGAAACCCAAGATTGTCACTGTGGGGCATCTCGGCCACGTCAGTGATGTTTTCCAGAGACTTGAAGAATGACAGGATGGCATGCATAGCAAATGCTTATGGTACCTTGCCCTTAAAAAAATTATTAATCCCTATTGAGTTCCCACAAACTCTTTCATCTAAGTCTCCCATCTTTAGAAGAATACATGGATATATTGGCAGGATCCCAGTTACAGCAATGTGCCCTGGCTACAGATGCAGAGTGGGTCAGCACATCAAGTCATCACCATCCTTCCCTCCCAATTACAACCAGGAGTCATCCCTTTTCTTCTTTGTTTAAGGTAAAAAACAGTAAACATTGTGAAAAAGTTCAGCAGGCCTCATTTTTCTGAATGGCTGACCCTCTTCTAATTGTGTAGAGGCAAATCACTTCTGCTGAATAGCTGTCAAGTGAAGTTCCTCTCTGAAATGCATAAGCTTTTGATAAATGTGATCTTCAAATGAACTGGCTGCATTGACACACCCCTGGCTGTCCTAAGAGCCAGTAATGCAGACCAATCAAGGGTTAAATAACCCACTGCATGGGTAATAGAGCAGGTGGGAGATGCAGAGGGCTAGGCTGCAAAGGCAGCTGAGCAGCTGAGCAGCTGAGCATGTTCCTGACTGATAAAGGGTCCTTGGAAGCATGGCTACGGAGAGGTGAACGAACTTGACCCCAAGGTCATTATTTAAGCAGGAGTAAATTCATTGAACCTTTAGCAGATAATACAGATTCTCTCTCTCTCTCTCTCTCTCTCACCCTTCCTTTCTTTCTTTCTTTTTAAGGAAATGGTAGAGACTTCTGGAAACCCCTGGAGCTGCTCAATAGATAAGAAGAGGAGGATTCAGATGCCTGTGACGACTGTCAAAACCTCCATCCACACCGTTCAAAGCTACAGCAGGCTGGCGTTGCTTTAGTTTTATTTCAGACTCTATTGCTACTCACTTGCTAATGAAGTCATTGAACTCTGCTGACCATAGCTCAGGCTGCCTTAGTTTAGGGGGTGGATTCCTGGAAAACAAGAATCAAGGTTGGAGATTGTACATTGATCAGATGGTGAAATATGAGAAGCAGCCCAAGACCAGAGAATTACTGCAGTCCCAGGTTCTGCCTGTACCATCAAAGATTGCCATCCTTTCCCAATTCCAAGAAAGATAATTAGCTATTCATCATTCTTTATATAAAATGACAGCTTCCTAGTTTCTCTGAAAGCATTTAACATATAACCCAATTTTCCTGTTATTATTATTATTATTATTTTCTACTAAAGAGTCATCTGGCTTTTACCTAAAATCCCTAGGAGGAAATGTCAATATTTATCAAACACTGGGGGAAGAGTTTCCTCTCTGACCTCTCTGAGTCCTATAGAAGTCTCTGAGGAACAGCCACGGTGCACAGAGGTACCCTGGAACAGGTAGCAAGCTGCAGCGGGGAGGGCAGAATGCCTCCTGGAGCCGTTCCTTTGTTTCTAGAAATATGGCAGGAAGCACGTGATAAAAGCAAAGATCTGGAACATACCATTAGCTATAGAACTCTGCACGCCACTTAAAAGATTTTGCTATTAATTCTTTTTTGTTTTTTAAGCTGAACAAATCTTTTCCTTTTTGGTGCATCTGTGCTCACAAAGGACCAGCACTTGACAGTGAGCCTGATGTGACTCTGTAATCAAGCAACATTGATCAACCATGATGGCTAAATTTGCTGAAGTGCCGCTTTATGTTAATTCTAACAGCTCTTTGTTTTCATTAGGGGGATGGAAATACTTTTGTCTTCAGTCTTGCATTGCTCCTTAAACAGCTTATAATGAAATTAATGTACAGTCGGTACAGGCTCATTAATGCCAAGTGCAGCTAACCCATCTAACCGGATCATGCCCAAGTGTCTTTCAGTCAGGAGAAGTATTCTAAGATTGCTGATTTGCACATTTAAAAAAGTCCTTTTTTCAGCCAATAATTTTGTTTCTTGTCCACTGAAAATTTTCTTTTATGAGCTGTATCGGATCAGATTGCCTTACGAGGTTTGACAATTTCACAGTGCCTAGAACTGTGGCTTTTCGGATCTCCCTTTCAACATGTTTCTACAGCTAGTAGTCTCAGAGTTCCATTTAAAGATACAGCAGCAGCAGAAATAGTAGGAAATAATTAGCACGCTGCACTTTACAGAACTCTCAGTACACTGTTACCCAGGCACAATAGATCAGTGGTCGACATTCTCCATGTTTGTGTCCTTATCATCAAGATGATAACATGGGGTTAAACATGGTGGTTTATACCACAAGGAAGGTGACTTGGGCATGTATAGTTTCACCTTATACACTGAAGGACAATAGATGTTAGAAAAAATGTATTTCTCATGTTTTCAAAATTTTAATGAAATGTTTTTAAGCTGGTATACAGAGGATTCCCTCTTTCCTCTAATCTTGTTTCCCCCACATGCCAAATAAGTAGCATGTTTTATAAGACCTGAGATAACACTGGACATTGAAATATAAAGAGTGATGTAAATATTGTAATTCAGACCCAATGCACAGAAAATTCCAAAGTAATAAACAACTTATTATTATTATTATTATTATTATTATTTTAATTTTATAATTTAATTTAATTTTACATATCAGCCACGGATTCCCTTGTTCTCCCTCCTCCCTCGGCCCCCCCTTCCCCCCAGCCCACCCCCCATTCCTATCTCCTCCAGGGCAAAGACTCCCCTGGGGATTGAGTCAACAACTTTTAATGTTTGTAATTACACATAAAAAATTTCAAAGGGATCCACTTGAGAATGAATAAAACATGATGGCATTGTTTCTTTAGGACTACAGCATTCAGTGCCCCACTCCCCCACCACTCCAGGTATGTCTTCACAGGTTGAAATCACAACCTTTTACTAATAGGGTGTATAATTACTGACTATCATGTCCCACTGTCCTGGATCCCTGACAACACAAGCCGTGTGTGTGTTTTCCTTAGAATTAAGGAATCAGGAAAAATCCTTAAGGTCTCTAAAAATAGCTCACCTATAATTAAGATGTTTTTTTTTCATATTGGCTTTCTGAGACATCTAGAACTTATCAACACACATTTAAAATAACAGAAAAATTAGCTAGCTGTAGTGGTACAAGCAGGGAGGTAAATATTGACGGTAATAAGACTAGATGGCCAGTTCAAGGGTAGCTAAGGCTACACCTTTAAGGTGGGCATCCTGGTGCACATTTGTAAGCCTACCAATAGAGATGAAGCAGGAAGATCTGAAATTCAGTCAGCTTCAGCTACATAATGAATAAGGACAACTTAGGTTACATGGGACTTGGTCTTTAAACTTTCTAGAACACTTCTGAGTATTTCCATGATGAGAAGTCAGTCTCAATAAAAAGGGAAAAAAATGGTCTGCAGATCTTGGACCTGCTGGTCACCTGACCTTGGTATTTTGAAGAGCGCTCTCATGGGATGCAGCTCAGCTAGTGGAGGATCTCCATCACCAAGCTCAATAGCGGTGATACCCAGGGACCATGTGTCACATCTAGCATCGTAAGTGGTATCTAATTGCTGTTCACATGCAATCACCTAGAAGACAAAAATAGAAAGGAAAAAGTGTCAAGGTTTCAACAGGCAAGCAGTGAAATGTTCAGAGAAAAGTGCTTAAACTGGTGAAGTTGATAAGTGAAGATAAAAGGCAGTAATTTGGAAGGAAAGGGAATCATATAAATAATAATATTTTTATTCTGAGCACAGACAATATAATAGCAGGTTTGCAGATACATGGGGACAGGGGCTGTGAAAAGGAGTAGTTTAGAAACTCTATCAAAAAGAAGAAAGAAATGGTGCCCTGTGTGGAATGGGACCAAACACACGGCTCATGACTGGGAGATATTCACTCAACAAACCGAGGGGCGGGGGGCGGGGGGTGGGGGAAGAGGCATCACCCAGTAGCAAAAGAAAAGTTCATCTCAGAGAACTGGAAAGAATCAAGGGAAATCAACTTGAGGGCAGTCTAGTTAAATGGCCTTGAACCTTACTGGCAATTAGAATACAAAAGCACCCGGGGATGAATGAGAAAAATTTGGAAGAATGCAAATGACTTAAACCATTATTAACAAAAAAGTCAACTCAATAAAAATAAACACTAATGGAAAGGTACAATGGCTTATTGGAGCCACACTAAATTTTCAAACTGCAATCTAATGCCATTAACCAAATGTGACAGAGAGTCAAAAGAAAGAGGGGAGGGAAATGGGTTTGCAATATTGTAATACAGTATTACACAGAAAAAGCATTGTATTAATTTCCTTTATAGCATTGCTAAATGTGCAAGAAGCCTATAAATCAGTGGTTCTCAACCTTCTTAATGCTGAGACCCTTTAATACAGTTCCCCATGTTATAGTGACCCCCCAACCATAAAATAATTTCATTGCTACTTCATATAACTGTAATTTTGCTACTGTTATGAACTGTAATGTAAATATCTGATACACAGGATATCTGATATGTGATCCCCAAAGGGGTTGGCAGCCCACAAGTTGAAAACCACCGCTATAAATGTTCATTGTTAATATCAGTGATCACAAAAAGGAAATTCAGCTTCAAATTGTGAAAAACATTATTATTATTTATTTTTGAGATTATAATATAATTACATCATTTTCCCCTTCCCTCTCCCCTACAAACACTACCGTATAAATCTCCTTGTTCTCTTTTAAATTCGTGGCCTCTTTTTCCATTAACTATTGTTACATGCACATATGTATCTGCATATATATCTGAAAACATAAATACAACCTTTTCAGTTTGTAAAATGTTACTTGTATGTATGTCTTTAGGGCTGTCCATTTGGTATTGGATAACCAATTGCGGTACTATTCCTTGGGGAAGACCGTTTCTCCTGCTCTCAACGTTACTTTGTTGTCTGTAGTTTTTTGTGTAAGTTTGAGGCCTTGTGGCGGCCCCGCCATCCACTTTGGCGTTGTTTATTGTTGTCCTTGTTCAGCTCATATTTAATCAGTCATGCTGGTGAGACTATGGATGTAGGTTCTGAAATTACTAGAGACACAATCTCCCAGCAAAATCCCTGTTCCTCTGGCTTTAACAATCTTTCCACCCAATCCTCTGCAATGATCTTTGAGCCTTAGTTGCCGGAGTGTTTTGTAGATGTATCCAATGGGACTGACTTCCATAACTATGCAATTTGATTGGTTGTGGTTTTCTGTAATGGTTTCCCCATCTGTTACCAGAGAAATTTCCTTGATAAGGGCTAAGAGCTACATTTATCTATGGGGATAAGGACAAATATCTAAAATATAGTTACAGATTATGCTGCTTTAACCAAGTGGGGATAAGTATTATTTTTTAAACATTATTTGTGTGTGTATGTGTGTATGTCTGGTGTGTGTGTGTGTGTGTGTGTGTGTGTGTGTGTGTGTGTGTGTGTGAGAGAGAGAGAGAGAGAGAGAGAGAGAGAGAGAGAGAGAGAGAAGGAGGGAAGGAGAGAAGGAGGGAGGGAGGGAGGGAGAGAGAGATCATGTGTGTATGAATTCAGAAGACACCTTGTAGGAGTTCTCTCCTTCCTCCATGTGGGTTCCAGAGTTTGAATGTAGGTCATCAGGCATGACGACAAGTTCTTTTACCTGCTATGTTATCTTACTGGCCTTTGAAAACCATAATTTACATTAAAAATGTTTTGAATTTCGTGAATGTCATTTCACAAGACACAAATTATTTGGGGGGTGATGGCAGCTTAAAGTCCCATCATTTAACTACAATATGGTAGTCTCTGTGGGAACATTTCTCATTGGTAACTCCAGCAAATATTGAAAACCCCTGTGTGGGCTCCAAGAGTTGAGCTGGCAACCTTCGCATACACTACTCAGGAGAGTCTACTTCTTCATGATGAATGAGTCCCCTTAGATGTGACACCAAAAGCCATACTATTGAATATCTAAATAGAAACATATCAATGTGTTTAAAAAAGAGGTAAATAGATGATTGATATATTGATAGATGATATATAAGTAAGTGACAGATGGTAGATAGATGGATAGATGATAGGAAGATGGAAAAATGGTAGGTACATGATAGATGATAGATAGGTGATAGATGAGTGGTAGATAATCAATAGATGAACGATAAATGATATATTATCCACCATCGATACACATATGAATAATGTACTTATGTATTTATTACTGGTCTTTAAACATTGGTCTACTGATTCCTTTCTGTTTATTTCTTATGAACTTGCCCACAGCCCAGAACCAAGCTCTACCAGCAGTCTGCATTTGTACGCCTTGTCCCTGCCCCGTATCCTTTCTTATCTCATAGCTGTGTGGCCTTTTCTTTCTCAGTCAGCCTGTGTGCTTATAGTTTCATCCTCTGGAGTTCTAGGAGCAAGCATGAGAGTCCTAGGTTTTACTTTAAATTTCATATGTTAAGTATTAAGACAGTATTATTCATAAACAGCCAAAAAAGTAGGAACCTAGTGTCTCTTAAGTGAAGAATGGATACACATAATGTGGTATATACAAATAGTGAAATATTATTTATCCACAGGAGTACAGAAGTACTACAGCATAGATGAACCTTGAAAATGAACCAGGGGGAAAATCCAAACACAAGGGACACATGCTCAGATTCCATCAATACAAGCTGTTCAGAATAGAACAATCTATACATCTTAAACTAGATTAATGCTGGACTAGGGGAGGGACAAGGGAAATACTCACATGGTAAAACATTTCTTTTAGGAACATAAAAATGTTTCGTCTTAGACTGTGGAGGTGATGGAGCAGTTCTAACTATCCACTGACAGCCACAGAACTGTGTAAGTCAAAAAAATGAATCTAATGCATGTTACCTATGTCTCTCAAAGGTGGGAAAACACATATGAACTTTCTCTTCTGTTGTCTAATACATGTGGTGGTATTGTGTTCCCCAAAATATTGAGCACCCTAATAAACTTATCTGGGGTCAGAGACAGAACAGCCACTAGATACAAAGGCTAGAAAATGGTGGCACTCACACCTTTAATCCTAGCCTTCTGGAGGCATGGATCTCTGTGAGTTCAAGGCCACATTGGAAATAGCCAGGCATGGTGACTCACGCCTTTAATCCCAAGAAGTGAGCCTTTAACCTCAGGGAGTGATGGCAAAAACAGAAAGATATATAAGGCGTGGAGATCAGAAACTAGAAGCATTTGGCTGGTTAAGCTTTTGGCTGGTTAAGCTTCAGGCTTTCGAGCAGCAGTTCAACTGAGAGCCATTGGGATGAAGACACAGAAGCTTCCAGTCTGAGGAAACAGGACCAGTTGAGGAACTGGTGAGGTGAGGTAGCTGTGGCTTGTTCTGCTTCTCTGACCTTCCAGCATTCACCCCAAAAACTGGCCCCAGGTTGGATTTTATTCATAAGACTCTCTAAGATTCCTGCTACAGATACATTTTGGCCTTTATGTAATTTGTGGTTGTGTGTGCTAGAAATGTAACTCAGGGCTTGCATCCTTCCTCCCATTATTGTCTGATAAACAGTTGGTTTCAGAATATGGAGTCGACCCTACCCTTCTCATATTTCTTTGGTGTGTTGCTATATATCTCAGGCCTCAGCATTCCT